AAAAAGAAAGAGCCGTCGTCGCCGGAAACTAAAATTGCCTCTAGCGGGAAGGAGGAGGAGGAGGAAATGAGGGGCGTGTCGGCGGCACGGCCGGCGGCAGTGGGAAAACAAGACGCGGAGACACGCAGCGACAACAGCGGCGGACACGGCGCACAAACTCAGCGTGAGCCGCAGTGGATTGCCCCAACAAAAAAAATTAAACGAAAAGAAAAGAAATGGAAACCCCGCAACTCCCTTCCCAAAATAAAATGAAAATAAAACGAACTCACTTCGGCAGGTGTTGTTCCTTCACCTCAAATGCCCTGCAGCACAAGAGGACTGCGAGAGAGATGCATGTATATTTTAATCCCTGCACGAAGAAAAAAAGAAACAATTGCCCCTGTCGCACAAGCGCACCTCACATTTGCAACTCACGGTGGCCGCGGCCTCGTGCCTCATTTGGGCAGTCCGTGCAGCGCACAGAAATGCGGCCGGCACTGCGTGTGTGTGTGTGCAGCAGCAAACAGGAGGGGGAAAAGGGTGCGCCGCCCGCGGGAGCGTGCATGGGGTGGCGAAGCAATAAATAAGAAAAAACTCCCTCAGAGCACAGGAGGGAGAGGATTGACCCACAGGGACGACAAGCAAAACAAAAAAAAGGAACACCTAAATGAAGAGACCCGCATGGGTCGCATCGCACACCTCTCACCGTGCGGAATCACAATTCCACACTCCTTCGCTCAGAAGCCTGCCGCGACGCCACAAAGCGCCAGAAGAGTCAGCAGCAATAGCCAAGCCACGCACCCACGCACAGCGCCGTCGCTCTCCGTGTTCATCGGGAACGGCCCTGTGGCGTTGCTGAAGGTGGTAGAGTTGTTGCTTAAGTGCGGTGCAGCGTCGCGTGTTGGCGGGCTGCCTGGCTGCCCAGGCGCCGGAGCCGTGGGTGCCGTGGCGGCGTTGCTGGGGGCCTCGTGGCCGCCGTCCTCTTCCGCCGCAGTTTGGGGGCCTGCGCCATTTTCTTTGGCGGCAGCGTTTGGCGTCTCGCCGGGGGGCGCGGCGGAAGCAGACGGCAAGCCGCCAACGGTCTCTGGCGCGTGCGACGGAGGGGTCTGCAGCGCCTGGCCGTCATCCATGGGCCCACTCCGCAGAGGCGCGTCACCCGCCGGGCCCGCCGTGCCTGCACCGCGCGGCACCGACGCATCCCCCGCAGAACTCCCAGCCGCGTCGGTCGTCGCTGGGCCAGTGCCGGCTGCCCCTGACGGCTCCTCCGACACGCCGCCAGTTGCTGCAGTCTCGTCGTGCGCAGAGCTCGTCGGGCCACTGACGGAGGATGCGGCGGCGCGAGGCACCTCCGGTTCCGTCACGCTGGCCTCCTCCTCCTTCCTCTCCAGCGCCGCAACCTCACTGGCGTTGAAGCAGCGGTTGTACAGCAAGACGTTCGTCACCGTCACATGGAACTCTGCGTTTTCGAGGTTCCTGTATTCCCCAACAAAGATGTGCGAGACCCTCTCCGGCGGCCTATCACGCTGAAATTGCTCATGAGGAGGCAGAGGCGGAGGCGGAGGCGGAGGAAGCAGATCAGTAGATGGGGGTTTCTCCTTCAAACTCCCCACAAGCTGTCCGTCGACGTATGCTGAGCCCGTGCCGTTTTCCACCGTGATCACCACTCGGTATGCCTTCCCCTCCTCCCACGTCATTGTTTGTGCATCCGCTTCTGCTCCGAACTCCGTCCTCCAGTGCTTGTGCTCGTCGTACCACAGTCCCAGATACATTCCAGCCTCCGCTGTCCTCACGCCCAGCAGTGGGGTGGCGTCCTGTGGCGCTTCGTTGATGGTCACTGTCGCCACAAGCGTCACCTCTTCGCCCGCAGAACCGTGCCCGGGATTCCGCCGTCCTCCGCCCACCGGCCACACAATCGATGCACCACGCCCCGCCAGCGCAAAGCCATTGACAACCTTCGTTGCTTCCCCCGACACCGTGGCGCCCACCCCAAGGTACTCGTCATTCCAGTGGGTATTGTTGCCGCCGCTCGACAAAAACCCAACCAGCCCGTCCGTTGGCATAGTACCGACGCAGGCAGCAGCTGGTTCTGCGGCGCCCTTCGCAGCAGCGGGGGTGGTGGCGGAGCTGCAGAGCTTTGCGACTCTGGCGTCCACATCCTTCCAAGTTTGCAGCACTGTTTTGATGCGCTTCAGCTACTATGGAAGGCGCGCAAAGACAAGGCTTTCTGAGCGTTCAACCGGGCCTTTCTTCGCGTAGAGGGCAAACAGCTCATCGTGT